TTTCTTCTTGTTAAAAACCACAATCATTTATGGTGAAAAATGATATTTTTGAATTCTTGTTGAAAACAGCAAGTCCCATTGCATTGATACTATGCATATTGTTTATTTTCTAATGATGTCTTCTGTTCTTTAATTGAAATGTGCATTGCTTAACAGCGGAGCTATCTCAGCCGAGAGGCTGCTTGTTTTTATGTCTACTTGCAAGCTTATTGACCTGCCATCTTGGTTCTTGGAAACTAACTCGCCATCTAGGTTATTGCATAGTGATCCATAGTCCTGCTTCTTGCATACTGTATACATGCATTTCAAATTGTATTGTGAAATGTCATTATTTTTTCTACACTTTCATTTGTCTGAAAGCTAATTCTAATCTGCTACAGAAAGCCAATTACTTGAGTGTCTGTTCTAATCTGATTTGTCAGTACCTTAATCAGATAGTGGGTGAATTTAGACCTTATATTGGTATACCAAGACGAAAGGCCATATATACAATACTGCAGATACATTTTGTATACTCCATCAGTTTTTAATTGCCATGGTTATCAAATTATTGATGCTGTGTGTAGACATTTATGTACCATATCATGATTCATATTTTTTCTATTTGTAATTTCCAGTTATGGAGTTAAAATGGACAGTTTATGAATCAGTCCCAGTCTAATATATCAGTGACACTTAGGGTCTAATAGTGTGGTAAATTAAAATAGGCAGTTATATTGTGACAAAAAAGGAACATAAAGAATTTGTGTTGATGAGTTAAATTTTTGGCACAGTGTTGACTTATTGCAGACATTAAAGCGACTAGAATTGTCAGACACGTTTGTCACACGTGTTAAACAAATGAATTCCATCAATTTGATGAACAAAAACCGAAATGAAAGAAAAATCACATTAAGTTAGGAGTTTTGTGGAATAGTAAATTTTACTTTCATCGAAATGAGTTTGGTGATTATGTCTTGCACTTCATTACCGTAGCGGTGCTTTGTGAAACCCATCTACAAATTTAACACGTTAGATGTGTCTGTACATTTACGATTTGATGACATCATTACAATATTGGTGGCAATACCTGTCTCTTGTTGAAGTTTCCTCTGCTGTTGTTAATGTGCAGTGTGACCACTAGAGGAATTTAATCTCAGTTCATACAGGCTGTATTTATTTTCATTAAGAACTGAATTTATTTTAAAATAGCTGTGTAAACTGCACAGGAAAACTGCACAAAAAGAGGTTGTTCTAATTTTGCATTAAACTGAATGAAATCAAGATGAAAGAGCTCTAAATTAACAAAAGCTTTGAACTGTAGGTTAAATTTGTATGTTAATTCTAAGTCACTCACTTTCAAATAAGGAATTGAAGACGATGTATGAGAGCGCATGTCAAATGGTTATTGCAGTCGTATATTTTCTTTTAGCGAACGTGTGAAAATTCTTTAACAGTAAAATGCAATTTATAACAGTCATTCCTCTTATCAAGAACTAGTTTAAAGAAATCTTCAGAATTGGATGTGTTTGTCACCATGGCAATGTCTCTTCATTATTTTTTTTACGCGTACATTGCTTCTTGTGAATGAGAACTTTGTTGGCAGTATGAAGGTTTTCTGGTTGCTATGTTACAGCATCAGTGTTGGTGCATCTGTTTGGATTCCGTGACCATCGTTTTTTTTGGAACATCTTATCATTTGTATAGATCTTTAAGACAAAAGTCCAGGTTTGTGAATTTTGGTCAAAATAGAGGTGAATATCTAGTACCGTATTGATATAACATTTGCTGTGGAGTGTTATACTTTGCTGTAAGATGTTCACATGATTTGATAATGTTCAGAAAAACTATGTAAATTTTATGAAGACCTTTCTGACTCCATCTGTCTAAAAACAATTCTCAATTGAACTCATGAAAATGTTTCCCTGATTGTAGAATTAATACAGGAGTTCCCAAATAAATTGTGAGACAAATGCTAGTTAATCATCCCACTGTGTTAGATCTGATTATTCAGTACGAGTTCATTAATCATGTAGTCTGTTTTTGAGGGATGTGCAATGGTAGGATGGCAAGCAACACACACCCTTCCAAGGTCAAACCGATAATTGACGTCATTGTACTGGGTTTAAGTCCACCTGTGCTCTTGTTGTATTCCTTTGTGTTATTTCATGTATTCTATATAGAATAATAAAGTAAAGCCAAGCATGAATAAAATCAATACTGAGACTAAATCTTTAAAATGAAACTAAATTTGTTCATGGCCGTGTTAGCAGTACTTATTTCTTGGTTAAACTGAGTACCAAAAAGTAATAAAACTGCCATTAATGTTGATGTTATTACTTGGCTACAAGCTAATGAACTTGCTTGACTTTTGAAAATTGACAATAAAATTGTCCTGTGCACTGAATTCATGCTCTAAATGTCTGGCTGCCTTTATAATATGCAAATTGTAAATCTTGTATAATGAAAACGTACATGACTGATATTCTGCATGTTTGTTGCCATGGTTTTCACTTCCATCACAAAATATTCCTCAAAATTCTTGCTCAGAACAAATCTGATAATCTGATAAAAATGTCAACGATGAATATCTGAGTGAGAATCTCATTAGACATTTGTTTGAAAGTTGAGGTGAAAAATGAGATTATGATCTGATTCTTGAATTATCTAATCAGATCCCCAGAAATTCTTTAAAAAATTGTCAGATTGTAGCAGGGGATTTTTGTAAAGGACATCGATACAACAGACACATCTCTTTAGGGCTGAAGTTCTTCTAGGAAATATGCTTTTGTTTGAATATTCTATAGAATAACAAGTCATAATCTATAAATCAACACAGAAATATGGAATTAGAAACTGAAAGGTTTAACAGCTGATATTGATAGTTCAAAATATTTTTGTTGTTGAAATAAAAAATAATTCTATTCAGTTTTATCTCTGTGTGAAACATTTATTAACAGAAACAGAGAATGCAATAATCAGCGAGTCATGACATTTTAATTGTTCATGTGATCCAAATTTTTATTATTTTCCATTGTTTTGACTTTCAGAATGTTAACTATGATTTGCCGCATTTCTTTGCTTTCTCTTTGTCAAACTGTATTTCCTATCAATAGATGTGCTTCCAATATTGATTTTTCTTATCATTTCAATATATCTAATAAATAATTGATAAATAACTAACAAAAGAACTAAATCACTTTTCAAAATGAATTACTAGTAACATTCTGCTCAATTTTATTCCACCCCTATATTAAAATGGTTTGGTCCAGTAACATAAATCACATATAAAGTTACAATAGTATTAAACTGAACCATATCTCAGTATTTTTGAAAAATAAAAATAATAAATTGGTTTGATGATATTGCTTTTTGTCATGAAATACTTAGCCGAGGGCATATTATATTATAGGGCAGATCCTTTAATTCAAATGCACATGTAAAATCTAGCAACTCAACTTTTGAGAAAGCATTTCCATGAATCCAATTAAAACCATCCTGCCCAAACTGTCCCTCAGTGCTGAGCTATGTCACTATCACATACAATGGTATAGTCTAGTTGGCAACAGATGTGTAAGTCTCGTGTTGCTATTATTATAACACATTGTCATATTTCATATCATAGGGCTATAAATAATACATTGAGATTTGAGTTCTCTCATATCTGGTGCCACCTGTTGTGTTGGATTGCGTTTTATGATTGCCATTTGAGAGTAGTAATGGTGCAGAAAAACCAAAATAAACACAGTACGAGTGCTACCATCTGCTGTTATAATCCATTACACAATAACTTGTATAGTAATATTAATAAAAGTCATTTAGTTAAATATACTATTACAGTGTAATGTAGTTGGTCTTGTACAATAATGGCATGGTTTGTTTATATAGGCGAGGGAGAGCATATGGTTTTGAATTGCTGGTTAACATGCAGGTACCGACTGATTAATCAGATTACATACGCAATTTCCATAAAGCTTTAATGCCTAGCATACTAGACTGCAGTGAAAATTACTCATAAACTGACATTGTTGTGATTCACTGTTGAATCATTGTATTTCAGTCTTGGTAGATTTTATTTGTTCATGATGAAGAATCCCTCTAGAGATAAGACATTATTCATGATATTTAAATTGCTTAAAGACAGTGCATTATCATGAATATTCATAATATTCTGATTTGCATAGTTAAATATCTCATGAATATTCATGATGTTCCAATTAGCATAAGCATGTAAGCAGTCCACTCTACATGCTTGTACTCATAGTTGTCATTTTGAAAATCTACGATTTCAAGCTAATTCTATCAACCTAGTTATGCTTGCGTAACTAGAACAATTAAGCAGATTAATTATTTAAAGATTAATTATCTAGATAAATTAATTGGCTAATTGATAGACTATAGTCTCGAAGTACTATCAGCTTATGATGATCCATTAGCAGGATGTAAAAAAAATAGATCAATTAAACTCATTAAAGATAATTAATTAAGAAACAGTTAATCTTGTGTGAAGTTTAGTACACACAGGGCTCTTCATAGCATTACCATATAGTGTTGCGACTCGTTTATCAAAGCATTAAAAATGATCATACATTTTTTTTAAATATTTAAATTGTGAGTGTATATTTATCTCATCTTATTCAGAGGACAGAAAACTTTTTGTTGGAATGCTGAACAAGCAGATGACAGAAGACGATGTACGTGCAATATTTCAACCTTTTGGAAAAATAGAGGAATGTACGATTTTACGTGGTCCTGATGGGGTCAGCAAAGGTATGTGTAATCTTAGGGGAATGGGGTGTTTTTTAAACGAACATACAATTTCCTTTCCTAACTGGTCAGCAAAAGTGTGGTACCAACAACAACAGTCTCCATTTAGAAGTAATTTTTTGTTTTCAGTTTTAAAATTTTATTTTATTGACTTCTATGAATATTTAGTCATAAATCATAATTGAATTTATGATTATAGTTTATGTGATCATAAAATGCTATTAAAATATCAGCATAGCCAGTTTTGTTGTGATTTAATTAAAATATCAGCATAGCCATTTTTGTTGTGATTTAATTCCCATCACTGTTATATGTAGATATGCCACTATTTTAACCTTTTTATAGATAAATTCTGTTAACCAAATTTTATTAACAATAAAGTTACAACTCTGTCCTTTATAAAACCAGAGCAGAGTAAACTGTGTCTTCAGATAAAAAAAAAAAAAAAAATTTTCTTCAGGCAACTTATTGATTTCTTTACTGAAGAAATAATCAATGTGTTTGCTAGACATTCTGATTGGATATCAACAATTCTGTAATCTGTCTCACCGAATGGTATAAAAAAGTGCATCAATTGGTTACTTTCCTTAGCAACCAGGATATCTTGATTAATACTGGCAGTATTAATGTAACATATTTGGTTCACTGTATCTTAAGATGGAAGTGATCTCTTAGACACAATTCTGCGAAGAATGCTTTGCAAAAGTATAACCATTATTCATGGTTAGTCCATAAACAAAATGGCGGTCATTAGAGCTATACATCTGATTGAAAGCTGTCATTGGATCAGTTACTGATGTTACACACAACAAATAAGACATCACTGCAATCCAATGTCATTCAAATTTGTTACTATGAACTTGTCATATGATTCAGTTCAAATCTAAAATTTGGTTCGATCACCAAAACTATGAATAAAATAAGTTGCAATTTATTATTTTAGTCACATTTCAGGCAGTTGTAACTTTACTCGCTAAAGGCGAGATCACAGTACTTAAATTACATAGAAGACAAATCTTTGCGAGACAGGGACGAACGTGAAATTGTATACCAATGAAATTTTTACTGGGAAACATAAGACTTTCCCCATTGCTTGCAAACACCCTGTAGCAAATCGAAAGATTGTTTACATTTTTGTTAGTGCAAACTTGTTTGAATTATTCAAACTTTTTGGTGACGTTTGAGCAATTCTCTCTTGAAACAATATTAACATGCCCTATATAAACCTGTTAAATGATCATACAGGTTTCTATAGTGTTGGCCTTACTTAGCTAACTGAAATAAACATTGAATACATTTTTCTAAAATTATTTATGCAAATATTAATAATTATAAAAGCATCGTTATAACAATGAAGTGTTATTTTAATGAGCAATTTGGGTATAAAATATTAATTATTTAAGATGATAGCAATGTGTTTATTCAAACCATTGTGAGAAAACAAAAGACAACCTTCTTATGATAAAATTTGATATTCAGAGACGTGTTTCACATGAATTAATTTAATCTAATATTTCATTTAGATGTTTTAGGAATACATGTACATGTGTAATCAAAACACAGATAGCCATTAACGAAATAAACTTTCCTGGAAAAAAACAAATTTTTCTAGTAGAATTGATGTTTTAGAATTTTGTTCTTTTCCCTGGTGATGGTTTCCATGACAATTGATGTGTAATTATCGTTAAAATGTCACACATTGTCTTCCCAGGAGGGTTATATATATTAAATAAAGACTTTTCTGTTGACAGTTACATGCTCAGTCAGGTGATAATAGTTGTATATCTATCATGACATTGTCTCTACATCTTCTCTGTCTCAACATCTCTGTAGTTGTCACATTGTTGGTTGTTTTCTCATCTCATTTTTTATCCCCATAAATACAATCCCGTAAATTATAAATACTAGATACAAATACTATAGTTTCCTGATAGTAAAATGTATTAATCATTTTTACGTCTCGGATAACATGGCATTTAGTTTATATACCATGTGTGATGTCTTTTTTTTGAAAAATAATTGTTCCACCTTCTCACTTTTTTTAACATCCCTCACATGTTATCAACATTTATTTCCACACTGTATATTGCTACATACTTGCCAACATTGTGAGTCCCACACATTATGTTTTAGTGAAATACATTTTAATAATAGATTGAGAGTAATGATTATGGGTCAGAATTTAATTGCATATTCTTGGAAAGAATACATTTTTTGTTGTTATAGCTTTACATAAAAACAAATTTACCCAAAAAAATAATAAAATAAATATTGGTTACATATTAGTGTAGAGATGTAGCAAAAAAATAATATAAAGATGAAACTTGAAATAAAACTTTACTTCATTCACATTTTCTCATCTATGTTCCGTATTTGAATATTTTCTGTGTTCTTCATAGTCCCCAACTTTCTTGTCGCTCAATATTATTGTGACATCACTTTGCGACTGTACTTGTGGTTGCCGCTAGCTAGCTCAGCCAATATTACCCTATTTACTGTCATCATACTTGGAACCATTGTCACAGATGAAGGAGCTGAAAGCTGAAATTACATCTAATAGCACTTTGGTGCTAAGTGTTTGTAGGTTATTAGATTTCTAAAAAATATTCTAGACTTTATTAACGTACAGCAGCCAAAGGGCTGAATTCCATGTAGTTTGTCTTGGTACAAATGTAGATGTTGACATGTTGCCCTTTGAAGCTCTTTCTATCTTTAAATTATATTTAAGTATTCAGATGTACTTGCATATATGATAACCAAAATTGTGTGCTTTGCTGTAACAATTAATACCATGATAGAGTGTTCTTTAAGTGAACACCTTCCAAGTTTGGGTGCTTTGTAGTCTTAATTACTACCATGCTAGGGTGTTCTTTGTGGTTCAAATAACTACTAAGATAGGGGGCAAATTAGGGCTAAAAGTTTGATTCACCACACATGCTTGCTGAAGATGATATACAACAGCAGTGCATGCTGGGAGCATCAATATCATTGATGGCTTACATGGTATCCGGTGAATGATGTGGTGTATTTTCATCATACCATGACCTTCTCTACTTTGTATCTCCACAGGTTGTGCATTTGTCAAGTTTGGCTCCAAACAAGAAGCGCTAGCGGCCATTAATAACATCAATGGTAGTAGAACATTGCCAGTGAGTCAAGTTTTATTTGCTATGATGGATTCTTCTCCTACTGTTAAACCTGTCTGAGGCAGTAATGTGCAGTATATAATGCATTTCATACATGTCAACAAAGAAAGAATTATGCATTCTATTGTTTCCTATGTGTCCTCTGTGAAAACGATTTACAGTTTACAGGATGGAACTGACGTCAAATCGTGTTTAATATGTATTGCCATTTTGTTTAATGTTACAATCTGAAATTAGAAAACAAAAAACATTGTTTTACAACAAAACCCAATAAATGCTATAACTAGATTTATTTGATTTTGTTATTCAAGCAGGGAGCATCATCCGCTATTGTAGTAAAGTTTGCTGATACCGAGAAAGAACGTCAGATACGCAGAATGCAGCAAATGGCGGGGCCGCTAGGATTATTCAATCCCATGGCGCTTACACAGTTTGGTGCCTATGGTGCTGCTGCTTATGCCCAGGTAGTGCAGTTTAATTTTTTATGATCTCTTTTTTGTGTCGCCCTCTAGTGTTGAAATATGTAGATGATGAAAAGAAGTCTATTCAGTTTTAATTTGTTCTAGACATTTAAATTTTATTATCATTACAAATTGTCTTTTCACCAGATTTGCAATATTCTAAATTACTGTATTGTGCATAATTAAACTCATTTATGAATTAATTAAAATGTGTTAGCAGACCTGTAAACCTGTACTTTGTTAAGTTATATTATCCTACCCATCATGTAGTGTGCCCTCTTGTGTGTGTTAATGTAACTGCTTTCGTTTTTATTGTGGATTAACCGTAGATATTTTTTCTTTTTTTTTCTGCCACAACATACTCAACAGATAATGCAGCAACAGGCTGCTCTGATGGCTGCTGCAGCAGCCCAGGGTGGCTATATCAACCCTATGACTGCAGCACTTGCCCATATGCAGCAGATGAACGCAGTGGCTGCTGCTAATGGATTCTCTGCTCCTCCTATTACCCCTACCTCAGAGATCGGTTAGTAATTACAATTTTTGTTTTATAAACACATGTATGTGGGCATTCTCTAGGAATAAAAATGTCAACAGTGAATGTAGCACGTCGAAATGTCCACTGTGAATCCCTAGCAGTCAAATGTCCACTGTGAATCCCTAGCACAGTCAAATGTCTACTGTGAATCCCTAGCATAGTCAAATGTCCACTGTGAATCCCTAGCACAGTCAAATGTCCACTGTGAATCCCTAGCATAGT